AAAAAAAGAAAAAGAAAATGAAAGAGGAAATAGTTAAACTTCCATTTAAGAACTAGCTTACTTGTTGTATACTTTTACAGTATTAGAGGAACAATAAAGGAGTAGATGTAAAAGTACTTAAAAAGACATTAAGGGGGCTGGGAAGGTGGCTCAGTGGTAGAGTGCTTGCCTCGCATGCATGAGGCCCGGGGTTCGATTCCTCAGCACCATATAACCAGAAAAAGCTGGAAGTGGCACTGTGGCTCCAGTGATAGAGCACTAGCCTTGAGCTGAAGATCTGAGGGACAGTGCCCAGGCCCAGAGTTCAGGCCCCATGACTGGCAAAAAAAAAAAAAAAGACATTAAGGTTTGGGTGGGAAAATTCAAATTTTTCATTAATGGGCTTAGGTTCTCACAGATGGGAAGCATGTATTATTTATTATTTATATCTTAGTTGAACAAATGGGCCTTTGTAGATATACATGTTTCTTATTTATTTTTTTAGGATCAAGAAATGTAGAAACTACTATGAAATTCTGGGAGTGTCTCGAAATGCTAGTGATGAAGAACTTAAGAAAGCATACAGAAAACTTGCCCTGAAATTTCACCCTGACAAAAACTGTGCTCCTGGAGCAACAGATGCTTTCAAAGGTCTGATCCTGAACTGATGCTTAATTCATTTTTTGACTCCAGCATTGGGGATTGAACACAGGGTCTTGTGCATGCTAGGCAGCACTCTTATTTGTTGTTGGTCATGGGGTTTAAACTCTGGGCCTGGGTTGTCCCTCAGCTCTTCAGCTCAAGGCAAGTGGTCTACCACTTGAGCCACACTGCTACTTCTGGTTTTCTGGTAGTTAATTGGAGATAAGAGTTTCATGGAGCCGGATGCTGGTGGCTCATGCCAGTAATCCTAGCTACTCAGGAGGCTGAGATCTGAGGATCACGGTTCAAAGACAGCTTGGGCAGGAAACTCCATGAGACTCTTATCTCCAATAAACCACTAGAAAACTGGATGTGGGGCTGTAGCTCAAGCGATAGAGTACTGGCCTTGAGCTGAAGAGCACAGGGAAAGTGCCCAAGCCCAGAGTTCAAGCCCCACAACTGTGGGGGGGCGGGGAGAGTTTCATGGACTTTTCTGCCTGGACTGGCTTTGAACTGTGATCCTCAGATCTCAGCCTCCTGAGTAGTTAGGATTACAGGCATGAGCCACCAACACCCAGCTAGGCAAGCACTCTTAACACTAAGCTACATATCAAGCAGCCTCTCCCCACACACACATCTTTTTTCTTTCTTTTTTTTTTTTTAATGTTGCCCAGGTTGGCTTTGTACTCACAATCCTCCTTAGCTTCCTAAATGCTGAGAATGCAGATGTGGACTACCAAACCTGACAGTAACTTGCTATAATAGAAGTTGTCTTTAACCTTTCCTGAAGTTGATTTATAAAGCCATTAAAGCCAGGCACTGGCAGCTCACGCCTGTAATCTCAGCTACTCCAGGAGGCTGAGATCTAAGAATCTCAGTTAAAGGCAGCCCAGGCAGGAAAGTCTATGAGACTTTTTTTTTTTTTTTTGCCATTCCTAGGACTTGAAATCAGGGCCTGAACACTGTTCCTGAGCTTCTTTTGTTCAAGGTTACCACTTTACCACTTGAACCACAGCACACTTCTGGCTTTTTCTGTTTATGTGGTACTGAGGAATCGAACTCAGGGCTTTGTGCATACTAGGCAAGCCACATTTCCAACCCCCCGTGAGACTCTTGTATCCAATAAACTACTCAGAAAAAGCCAGAAGTGGTGCTGTGGCTCAAGTGGTAGAATGCTAGCCTTGAGCAAAGAAGCTCAGTGACAGAGCCCAGGCCCAGAGTTCAAGCTCCAGGACTGGCAAAACATGATGATAATTATAATAAAGCCATTAAGTGAGGCATTTTCCCTCTACCTTTTAGTGATTATCAGCATAGCTGATAGTAGTTTTCATCTACTTACCTTTGTAGGTTTTTTTGGGAAAAAGTTTTTTTTGTTTTTGTTTTTGTTGTTTGTAACAGCCTTTGGAATTGATTCTAATGATGTTTATTGAAGACCTTCTATCTGACTGGTGCCATAGTAAATAAAACAAACATGCTTCTTATGACTGCTACAGAATAGGACCTACGGCATGGAAGTTTTTGTTCAAAAAGCTATGTATGAAGAACATAAATAAGAAGTAGAGCTGTGGCTCAAAGTGGTAGAACACTAGCTAGCCTTGAGTGAAAGAGCTCAGGGACAGCACCCAAGCCCTGGGTTCAAGCCCTCTGACCAACAAAAAACTAAACTAAGCATAAATACTATTTTAGATCAAATCTGTTTTCCTCTGATTTTTCAGAATACTTTTCCCACACATGTTTTATTAGCATCAATTAGTTGTGTAAGGGGATCCTCAGATCTCAGAATCCTGAATAGCTAGGATTATAAGCATGAGTCATCAGTATCTGGCTCAAGAACTCATTTTTGTGGGTTTTTTTTTTTTGGGTCCCGTCGTGGGGCTTGAACTCTGGGCCTGGGTGCTTTCCCTCAGCTCTTCAGCTCAAGGCTAGCACTCTACCACTTGAGCCACAGTGCCACTTCTGGCTCTTTTCTTTTTGCTTATGTGGTGCTGAGGAATGGAACCCAGGGCCTCGGGCATGCAAGGCAAGTGCTCTACCACTGAGCCACCTTCCCATCCCCCCCCTTTTTTTTTTTTGGGTCCGGTCATGGGGCCTGAACTCTGGGCCTGGGCACTGTCCCTCAGCTCTTCAGCTCAAGGCTAGCTCTCTAACACTTGAGGTGCCACTTCCGGGTTTTTTCTTTTTGCTTATGAGGTGCTGAGGAATCGAACCCAGGGCCTCAAGCATGCAAGGCAAGCGCTCTACCACTGAGCCAACTTCCCAGCCCCCCCCCTTTTTTTTTAAGTTGATCATGGGGTTTGAACTCAGGGCTTGGGTACGTCCCTGAGCTCTTTTGCTCAAGGCTAGTACTCTACAACTTTGAGTCACAGCTCTACTTCTGGTTTTCTGGTGGTTAATTGCAGATAAGAGTCTCACAGACTTTTCTGCCCTGGCTGGTGTCCAACCGTAATCCTCAGATCTCAGCCTCCTGAGTAGCTAGGATTACAGGACTGGGCCTCAGGAACACATTTTTAATGAATTGAGAGTGCTGGCCAGTTGGAGGACACTTTTGAATATGTCTGACACTTGCACAGATTGGTTCTCTGAGCTGAGGGGCAGTGCCCCAACTTTCAGGAAAACTAGGATACTCAAAACTCTTGACTAGATGCCAGGCGCTGGGGTTGGAGATATGGCTTAGGTGGTAGAATGCCAGCTATTAGTGAATGAACAGAATGAGAATGTAAGGCCCTTAGTTCAAGCCCCAGTGTCAGCACACAAACACTCTTGTTTTGTTTTGTTTTTGCTGTTAATGATGATTGAACTCAGGGCCTAGGAGCTGTCCCTGAGCTTTTTGTTCAAGGTGTGCACAGTACACAAACTATTTTTTAGGGCTGGGAAGGTGGCTCAGTGGTAGAGCGCTTGCCTTGCATGCATAAGGCCCTGGGTTCGATTCCCCAGCACCACATAAGCCAAAAGGAAAAAACCGGGAAGTGGCACTGTGGCTTAAGTGGTAGAGCGCTAGCCTTGAGAGCAGAAGAGCTGAGGGACAGCACCCAGGCCCAGAGTTCAGGCCCCATGACCGGACCCAAAAAAAAAGAAAAAAAAGAAAAAATGTCTTCTTATTTCCATTTCCTGGAGTTAATTTTGATATATATTATTTTATATGATCAGATGCACATAGGCATTGCAACTTTGAGCGTACAAACTCTTGAGTAGAAACTTGTTCTCAGAAAAAAAAAAGAAGAAAGAAATTTGTTCTCAGCCAGGTGCCAGTGGCTCACACCTGTAATCCTAACTACTCAGGAGGCTGAGATATGAGGATCATGGTTCAAAGCCAGCTCATGCAGGAAAGTCCATGAAACTTTTTTCTTTTTTTTTGGTCAGTCGTGGTGCTTGAACTCTGGGCTTGAACTCTCAGCTCTTCAGCTCAAGGCGAGCGCTTTACCGCTTGAGCCATGGTACCACTTCAGGTTTTCTAGTGGGTTTTATTGGAGATAAGAGTCTCACAGACTTTCCTGCCTGGGCTGGCTTTGAACCATGATCCTGAGATCTCAGCCACCTGAGTAGCTAGGATTACAGGTGTGAGCCACTGGCACCCGGCTTTCCATGAAACTCTTATCTCCAATAAACCACCAGAAAACCGGAAGTGGCGCTGTGGCTCAAGTGGTAGAGTGCCTGCTTTTGAGCTGAAGAACTGAGGGACAGCATCGAGGCCCAGAGTTCAAGCCCCAGGACCGACAAATAAATAAATACCAGAATTGGCACTGTGGCTCAAAGTGGTAGAACACTAGCCTTGAGCAGAAGGGCTCAGGGAGAGTGCCCAGGCCCTGAGTTCAAGCCCCAACACTTAAACTGAATCAAGAACAACCTCAAAGGCAAGCAGGCACTTTGGGGAACTTTACAGATGCAAGCGTCTCTCCTTGAGCTATTGTGAAGTTATCTGGCACCAATCAACTTTGGCCTTTTACAGCTGGGGGGGGGGTCTTTTTGTCTATGTGTCTGTGTGTGTCTGTGTCTGTGTGTGTGTGTTGGTCGTGGGGCCTGAACTCTGGGCCTGGGCACCGTCCCTCAGCCTTTCAGCTCAAGGCTAGTGCTCTACCACTTGAGCCACAGCACCACTTCCGGCTTTTTCTGCTTATGTGGTGCTGAAGTATCAAACCTAGGGCCTCATGCATGCAAGGCAAGCACTCTACCACTGAGCCACCATCCTAGTCCCCTTTTGCAGCTTTTGTGATCACCCTAGACACAACAAAGATGTGTTGCTTATATGCTATGTCTTGTTGCAGCGATAGGAAATGCCTTTGCAGTCCTGAGCAATCCTGATAAGAGGCTCCGCTATGATGAATATGGAGATGAGCAAATGACTTTCACTGCACCTAGAGCCAGACCTTATAACTATTACAGGGACTTTGAAGCTGACATCACTCCAGAAGAGCTATTCAATGTCTTCTTTGGTGGACATTTTCCTACAGGTTAGTATCCCAAAATTGTGATTTTTTTTCTCTCCCAGTACTGGAGGCTTGAACTCAGGGCTTCACACTTGAACTACACTCCAGGCCAACTTTTTCTGACTTTTTTTTTGGGGGGGGTGGGGGGAAGGGTCGGTTGTGGAGCTTGAACTCGGCAAGGGAGCTATCCGTCAGCTCTTCAGTTCAAGGTGAGCACTCTACCACTTGAGCCACAGCACCACTTCTGGTTTTCTGAGTGGTTTATTGGCTTTGAACTACAATCCTCAGATCTCAGTCTCCTGAGTAGCTAGGATTATAGACTTGAGCCCGGCATTTTTTTCTGACTATTTTGTTTTGTTTTTGGGTCCGGTCGTGGGGCCTGAACTCTGGGGCTCAAGGCTAGCGCTCTACCACTTGAGCCACAGC